AATATATATTCCCACTTATCTGAATGCTGATCTTCTGTACGTATCTACATGATTTCAAATTAAGGGTATATTAATCATCTGAATCCCTCCATCAGAGGGTATGCCACAAAACCATATAGCAATCTTGTAAACATGTTACAAATTGAGCTCTAAATATCAGTACTGACATTTTGGTTAGGGCTTGACTATTAAAGTACAATAAAAAATAAATACTGGTCCATGCCATCTGAATCATTAAGTGTTTATTCTGGAGGGAAGACTAATGAAATTTAATACATCTGCTCCTACTGTGCAGGATCATAAATATGCAAATGAACCTCAAGTTGTTTTACTTGAGGTTTAAAAGGAATTTGTTAAGAAAAGAATTGGCAATTTTTATTCTAATGCTTGAAATGACTATTTGTACATATTGCTGGGGTTAACATTGCAGTCATTTAAACATAACAAGCTGTACAAGCAATAAGCAACTTTCTCCAGTTGTGTTTAGATGTATAACATATACATAGGGTCTGTCTGCTTTTCCTTTGTAAGACATGGGCTACGTGTTTCTCTTTCCTACCTATTTTTCTGGTCATATATTAATGGTGCTGTCATCTTTCATCTCACTGGGTGAGGAGAGATGTGGAGGGCAACACCTTTCATAGCTTCTGGGGATCAATTTAAAACATACAGGCTCATACTGTGCCTGTATGTTTCAACTGATCCTTTTTACACCAGTAGAGAAATTAGGTTCTTGCATAGCATCATATCAATGTATGATCCTTGTAGTGTATGACTGATCTCTGTCCCAACGAGGTTGTTGCCTAAAATAAAATACCCAGTACAATACAATGTAATATTGTTGCAGGTTATGTACCATGTTAGAGTGTATATGATATAAGTTGCATAAAATCCAACATTTTTTCCTTTTCTAGTCACTCAGTTGTAGATCTACAATTGATAATTGAGGGCTTTCAAACCAAAATTTTGTTTCTGAAAATGTAGCCATGAAGTCTCTGCAGGACACTTCCAGCTTGGTACTCATTAAACTTAATCCTGATTTATGAGCCAAATCTTTTCCCAGACTGTTTCAGTGGAGCTCAGACTTGTAGTTTTGCCAAAGATTTCCCTGCAACTAGTATAGGTTTTTATTATGAGTGCAAATGGCTTGCATGAACATTAGAATGATTCAGTTGAACATGCTTTGAGTGGACGTCGTTCAGAGAGACACTGCACTTGTTTCCTAATATGAAGATATCTGGGGGGAAAAAAACTGTATCTTTTTCTCTTTTAAACTTGAATATCCTCTTTTGCTGCGAGCCTAGAGGTTGAATTATGATAATCACAATGTACTAAAACTGGCATGTTCTGTATGCTTGTGGACTTTGGCTAAAATGAGATGTTCCCTTTTTTGATTTGGCTAAAGTTTTGTTTCATGCAACCCCTTTTCTCTATCCTTCCCGCTTGCAGCATTCAGTCTTACTTGAAAGCTTTAGTTGTTCCAATCAAGCATGAAGCTAAGAAGAATGAGAGTGTTTCATTGCTGAGATCAGTAGCAAAAACACATGGTTTTAAGTTAAGACAAAATAAATAAAGAATAAGACCATCATAGTTCCAACCAACTTCCTTGTGAGACCATGCCAGCTGTACAGTTGGACAAGATCATGGCAGTAATTGTTCAATGAAATAATAAGCATAAACCTCCATATTTCACAATTTTATGGACAACAAGGGCCTTACAATTGCCATGTTTAATAGTCATCTAAATGCTACATATTTTACAGTCCAACAAAAAGAAAGCATATGTGCAATGAAAAGCATTACTACTGACAAAAGATTAATATGGAAATTATACATGTGTATTCTGAAATGTGCAACAATCTCAGAATTGCTTCCCTTTACAAAGATGACATGCAAACCACACAAAGCCTACTTCGAAAAACTACAAATTAAAAATTGACATACTTATCTCCATGACATTATTATTCATTATAAGTGTTTGTGTTTATTTTGGAATTGCTTATGGATTAACCAAGATGGGGGCCTATTGTGCTCAGAATTGTATCAGCACACAACAGCAGACAATCCCTGCCCTGAAGAATTTAGACATTAGAACTTGCTTTTGACAAAAACATTTTAGCTCAAAACATTTTGTTTCAATCATCTTGTTCAATGAACTTTTTATCACTGGGACCCTGCCTGGATCCCTAGATATTGCTGATCCCTAGACCTTTCGCTTGGGACAATTTGGTGGGTCTGCTCCAGAGACCCAACTCTAACCAGAGCCTGCTCAGATGTGTAACTAATAATTTTTGCACTGTGGGCAAAACCTTGTTAGTGGGAGGGATAGGATGCCTCTAAGTTGCAGTCCAGAGCTATTTATGCTGGTTAGAGAACAAGTCAGGGGTAAGAACCTTGCAGGAACAGAAAGAGGTTTATCCAGACACATAATCCCTCTCAGTCACTGATACTAAGTGATCATTCCTTCATATAAGCAGACGTAAAAATAAGAATTTCTCAGAAGCCTTGACAAAAAATTGACAAAATTACTAGAATGAAATCCAACCCCTCATCCACTCCCAGAAGGTTTGGTTCTGGTGGGAAGCAAACCCAAAGCCATACTGTTTCATTTACTACCTGCAAGCCCAGCGCTCGACTCATTGCACTACAAATCAGGTAATTTCTGCTTATTCTTGTGGGAGTGAAGAAAGAAGCCTACACTGCCCTCCTCCACCTCCCCGCCCAAAACACTGTTCAGGGAAAGCAGATCCAGCTCAGTGAGGGGCTTGGATCTTCTCTCTCTCCTGCATAGTCACTTCTGTCCCTGCTGATAAGCTAGTAAGTGCCATGGGGCCCACAAGAGATTTCCCAGTGTAGTGATCATGTCTGCTTCATTTGCAGGTGGTTCTACCTCTGAATCCTGGTGAAAGCAGAACACCAGTATCTTAGTGCAGGGAGCAAACCAAAGCAAACCCTTGCCAGGGCCTCTACATACTTCTCTGCCTGGAGATGTGATACTTGCCAGAGGAAGGGGAGCAGGGCTCAGAATGTAAGTGTGCCTCCCCGCTATGCTAGAAAGCTCCTTTTTCACTTCCTCAACAAGCTTCATCTGGAGCAATGACCCGCGGCCAACAGTGGCTGCAGCAGGTGCCTCCATGTTTGTAAGAATCTGCTGAGCAGGGTTTTTGTAAAAATGACTGACTGGTAGAACTCAAACCCACAATCTTTGAATGTCCAAAAGTCATGTCTTGAATGTCTAGAAACCCAACCCACCATCCACTGCACCACAAAGAGTAGAAATATACCTTTTTACTGCCACTGTTTGAGGCATTGATCTCTTTAGCAGAGTAGCCGTATTCCTGGGTTTTTAGGCTTACAAAGATGAAAAGTTCTGGTTTGTTTTTCAGTGGAGCCACTGTCACGCAAACACGGATTCAATTATGTGTATTGGCGCTCAACCCCATAACAGTCTTCATGAGAAATGAAGGCAATTACCACCAGTCACAGCTTTGCCAACTTATTTTCAAATTGAAATGAAGTATTGTGTAACACCCCCAAAAATATTTCTGAAAAATTCAACTCCTCAGTGCAACGCTCCTTTCCCACCCCAGTGAGGGATCATCCTCACTATGGCCCTGGAGATGACGGCCCTAGTATTTCTGGGCAGAGGGTCTTCTAGGGAGCGCCTGGGAGGTCCCCAATACCAGTTACTTGTGGGGAAGACTTGGAAGGTAATGGTCCTTTGTTGTGTAGCTGAGGGGCTGAAGGAAAAGGGGCTGGCCCTGTTACTTTTCTAGGAAGTCAGAGTTCTTTGCTGGAAAGCTACAAATGTCTTTAACCCTGCGAGCCACAGATTTAAAGAAATGTGATGCTCTACCAACTGAATTACCTAGATTCAAGTAACCATACTGACACAGCTGGATTGTCAGTCCTAGGGCGGTAACCTGCTCCAGGTTAATGTCCATTTCATTTATTTGTTCAGTTCAAATTCTACTTCTATTTGTTTAAAAACAACATAAATTAGAGGTGGGAAAGGAAGATTTTTTTTTTGTTTTCTGTATTTTTTCAAATTTTTCCCAAGTGATGAATTAGTGGTTGGTTTTTTAAACATAAGAAAAAGTGCCATTTTCACAAGGTTTAAAAAATAAGTTCAGGACCAAATATTTCAAAGTGTTCTTACAAAAACGTCCTCTTCAATGCTTTTTCATCCAGCCCAACCAGATCCATTCTCCTCCCAGGCCTTCTACAGGGCAGGAAGGTCACAGTCTCAATTCCATGTTTTCTCCCCTTAGGAAAAAAAGAAAAATCTGCCTGGGTGTCTTGGCGGATCTGCAGTCTGACCACTCTTGTCCTCAGCTCATGCACTCATTGAATCAAAGCATTTAATTCTTTAACACGTGTCTTGATTTACAGGAATAGCAAGATTGAATACAAGCAGTTCTGGTTTGATGGTGTAGTTGTGATTATCTCTGCTTTGCATGCAGAAGAGTCCTGAGTTAAAGCTGCAGTGGAGCCAGGTTCTCTGACTGCTGGTGCCCAGGCATTAGTGCTATTTTTCTGTTTTGACCATCTGATACACACTCTGCCTCTGCCTAATGGCCCTCATGTTCACCTACTGGCGCTGCTGGCCATAAAAATGGGCACCTACCTTGCTGAGAGCTCTCATGGGAGAGAAGAGTGGGAAGATTGAGTGGAGGAAAGCTTTTTTTGTGTCTGTTTACACCATGAGAAATGACCTTGCCTAATTCCATGGTTTTGGTTGTGCATGCTAACAAGAGGAAGAAAACCAAGTCTGTACCCATTTCACTGGAGTAGATTCTTTTTACCTTCCAGGGAAAAGAAACCCCTTCACATGTGGAGTGAAATGGAAAAAAGAGACCAATTTTTCTATTTTTCCAGACCAAAATGCAACTGGTTGCAAAGCAGCAGGTGAGGCAGAACAGGTAGCCTCATTCAGTGAAAAAGAATCCCCACACTCAAGGTTTGGGACAGTAACAGCAACAGGGCAACCTCTATGTAGACCCTTGGTAGCTCAGCTGGAAAAGTGTCAGACTTTTAATCTGAAGGTCCAGGGTTCAAGTCCCTATTTAGGCAAATGCTGTTTTTCAAAAGGAGAAATTCTTAAAATTGTATCTAAGATCCAATTGCTAAGTAAATTCCAACCTTTACAGGCCCTGTCCCTTGCCTCTTCTTTCATGTTTTCCAGGGTTGAGGTTCCCAAGCTTCCCATCTCTGGTGGGGTTGGTCCCTGACTGGGATGGGACAGGAGCTCTCCTGGAAGAGCTGAGCATTTTGGACAATATGGTTTTCTTTGTACTAAAAAGTTAATTTCAGCTTGAATAACTTTCTTCTCATTGTATATGGTACTTAATTGAATAAGTGAAAGGGGAGGAGAGTTTACAAAAAACAAGATTCAGCATGCTTGTTCCCCCAGGAAATCAATAATGAAAAGGGAAGAAAGCATTTCAAGGTTTCCTTACAAGCGTCCCCTGGATGTGCTGCACTCTATTTTACCCAGCATCACTGGGTCCAGTACCCCTCACCGCTGTGCAGGAGCAGCCACACAGGGCAGAGGGATGTCCTCTTCTACACGAGGACAGCTCAGAAGAGCCATGGGCCCCAGCTGCTCGCCCACCCCTAGTTGCGCTACTGGCCGGGCTGTTTGATTTGCAGATTCTCAGAGCTTTCGAGATTCAAGTGGGAAACCGGTTCCAGAGCCTGGAAATCCTGGCATGAGCTCAGGGCCAGATTAACCTTTAGTAGGCCCTAGGCAAACAAACTCCTGGGCCCTAGGCAAACAAACTGCCAGGCTGGTCGAGATCCTCCTCCCCACCCCAGCACTGTTGCCCCCAGGGAGCGGGGCTTGGAGCTGCTGCTAGGAAGCAGCCAGAGCAGTAGCAAGGGCAGTGGAGGGGAGGGGAGGGGAAGGGAAGGGAAGGGAGGCAGACAGGGCCATTTGTGCTGCTGCAGTAGGAAGGGCCGGGGCCCTTGCAGCTCAGGGCCTAGGCATGTGCCTAGTTTGCCTATGCGTTAATCCAGCCCTGCATGAGCTGCCAAGGCCTGTGGCTCCAGAAGACCGTATGGCAGGGCTGCCCAGGAGCCAGAGGGCTTGGGACGGGAGAGACATCAGCTTCACTGAGCACCCTCTAGCTTTTCTGCTTTTCCTAAACAAAACGCTACCGGGACATCCAGACTGCAGACAAGTAAAATAGCACCGATGTCAGATCAATTCAAACTGGAAAAAAAGAAAAGGATCCCTTCATTTCTCCCCCCGGATTCCCCAGGCTGGAGCCCCTCCTGGCCAGGCAGCTGTGCACAGCACACATCAGAAGGGTGAACAATCTGAGAGCAACAATTTAGTTAGTGCTGTGATTTCTTGGAGGTGGGTTAATTGGTTGGGATTAAGTTAAAGGGAAAGAAAAGGCAAGGAAAAGTGTGAAGGGCACAAGGCAGGGATGAGGAGGGGTAAGAGGGAGTGAAGGAACTGGCAGGGGAAGGGCAGGGAGGGCAAGAGCAAACCCAGCCAGCAGGGGAGAAAATCTAGTCAGAGCTGTCAAAAGTTCTCAAAGTGGATACAAATTTGCTGTGGCTGCTTTCTGCGCCCACATCTATAGAGTTGGCATTTCTACTCTATTCACTCTATTTTACCTTTTCCCACCCATTTCACAACTGCATTGCAAAACATGCAGATGGCATTGGACACTGGCAACGTGTAGCGGATACACACGTGTGCACGTGCACTCCCCGAGTCTGGTGGTGCACCCCCTACAAACCCCCTGTGGGCGGTCACCGCTTGCTACCCCCACCCCTGCATCGTCGACATGGTCAGTGGCATCTGTGGGTGGTCAGCGATTGCCGCTGGCTGCTGTTGATGCTGCCGGCGGCGTCTGCAGGTGGTTGCCAACCTCTGGTTGGCACTCGCCATCCCTCCCCCCTCGCCGCCAACCCTGCCGGTAGTGTCTGTGGCAGCTCCCGTCATTCATGGCGCTGGAGAACTACAGCATCTAAAAGTCACTTTTTGAATCTATTCTCTCCTTCAGTCAGGTAGAGTTGCAATGCCAGTGTGTCTCGTGAAAAAGTGTACATAGCTCATCGTGGCTAACAGTTTGGAGACAGCTAGAAGGAAAAACAAATGATACATTTAGGGGAGGAGCCTGGTTGGGTTGAAAGCAGAGCGGAAGGACAAATGTTTGGACAAGACTTCCTGTTAAAAACATTAGAACTATATCTCCAAACCTTGTTTTGAATTTATCCACACAGGAAGCAGAAAGTTTTATGTTCTAAATATGACCATTGGGCAGCAAGACTGTGGTCAGTTGCTAGTAACCCAGCAAAGTATTTTTCCAGCTTGTCGGAGGGAGCCCGTTAGGTACCAAGGGCTGCACAATACTTGTACAGTGGAGCTCTGCTCTGCAAAGTAATCATGGACCTTGGGCATCTTCTCCCTCAGCAGGGCTGGGAGCTGCTCCTCAGAGCTCACTCCTTCTTGTTTTAGCCTGTGCAACCGAGGCAGCTCCGGGGAGTCACTTGTGTCCGGTTCAGACTCCAGAATCAACAGAACTGGGGACTGAGTGAGGTCCAACTTGGGGACACCTGTGCAACAGGCTCCCCTGTGCCTGCTAGTTACACCTGTGCAACTTCACCAACAAGGAAAGGGTGAGTTACCCAGGTGCGGTGTGATCACAGATTTTTTAATTTAATTTTTTAAAGAAAATTTGTTGTGTTCCAAGCCAAATCAGCCAAATCGATTCCAGATCCGTGAGTCATTCAAGAACCGTATGTGGCCCTACTATGGGCAAACAACATCCTCCAGCCCCACCTGGGGCTTCTGATGCTTTCAAATCATTTGGCGGGCTTCCTCCCTGCAGGCCCAAGGCTCGGATGCCCCCCAGTTCAGGTTGTCGGGAGCAAGCTAGAGAGGAGTTTCCCATTTCCATACAGCCAAGATCTTGCACGTGGAGGGCGGTGGAAAAGCTGCCACCAGGCAGATGCGCCTCTTTAGCAGCGCGGGGCAGATGTGTCCAGGGCCCGCCCCCCGCCGTGCCCGCTAAGAGCCAGGCAGCCCCGCAAACCCCGCGCGCGGAGCCGGCGGGCCTGGACCACACTGGCGTTGAGGCTCTCCCTCAGGGCGCGTCGCCTCTCCCCGCAGCCTGGTTTCAACAGAGGGCGCTCCCTTCCCGGCTATGGAGGACAGCCTTTTTCTTTCTTTTTTTTTTTTTTTTCTTTTTTTTTTCATCCAGCTCTCTCTCAAACAGCCCGAAGAGACGGGAGAAGTTTCCAGCGCAACGTCCTTGACCACACGGCGTCGGCTCCGCGCAGTCCGGGTCCGGAGCCGACCCCCAGCCCAGCCCAGCCCAGCCCAGCGCTGCGGCTGCCGGAGGAGCCCGGCGGG